AAGCAAATTTCTCCATGGGCTTCATTCTATTTCTGTGCAATACAACCTTTAGATTTATACCGCAGTGAAAGATAATTTTTTGTTGTTTATGTTTAGACTGTCACACGAGATCATTTCAATGCAATTTCGTAATAGACCTTTAAAAATAGTCAGAACTTTCTTGCATTAAAAAATACATATTTGCCATCTTTAATAGTGTATATTGAAAAATGCAAAACCGTTAAATTGGGAAACTGAATTCTTTTATTTTACTAACAAGCTCAACGCCTACGTACACACCAAAAACCTTGCTATCGCCATTATGAAGTAGTCACTTCAGAAGTTAAAAAACCTTGAAGGTTCATAAAAGTTCGCTCTAAAAATTTGTTTGCACAAACAAAATTTATAAAACCATTACATATGTTTGTTGTAGCCGTTTATTATCATTTGCTTTTGACTGGCAACATAAAATACGACCTTCAACCTGTAATGCTCGATAGGCCTTTTAGACACTACATAAACATAACAGGCGAAAAAACACATTACCTTATAAGACTAACTATAACATATTACCTAAATATTTCTGTTCATCTCATAGAAATACGCCAAATATTAAATTTGATTATAGATTGTAGCGATCTAAAGATATAAAGCAATAAATCCAAACCTACCTCTAGCTAGACGGCGCCATTTTCTTGCCCTGACAGCGGATCGAGAGATAGCCTGTTCCAGGCTCTGAGATAGTCGGGTCCGCTGAATTGAGAAAGCACAAACACAAAAATAAAACGGAAGGAAACTGGTTATTCAAGTAAGTCAGTAGCATAACTGACGATTGACTGTATTTTTTTTCCATTTTTTGACGGTTGACGGTTATTAAGTGGACATTTCGTCCACGAATTTAAGTAGATCTGACTCCTGTATAAATTAATTGGAACTGTTGTGTTTTGGATCGAATTGGATGTTGTCTTGGCCTTTCACTTATAAAATTTTGAAATATTTACAGATATAAGCAAGTTGCAAGGTCTTCCACTGTCTAGAAAAAGTTTTTTTGAGAAGTGAAGATCAGCTGAAATAGTGAGATTTGCAATACCTTGAATCTTTTATACGGTTAATATTACCTGCAGTTTTGACGGTTGACGGTAAAAAATAGCCTTTTTGACGGCTGACGGTTCTGACGGTTGAATTTTAGGCCGTTTGACGGCTGACGTTTAACCCCACGAACACCTTCAGTTAAGGAAGCAACTTACCTTTGGAAAAGATAGCCTGAAAAATTCTGGGATGTCGGGATTCAAACCCTGACCTCTGTGACGTATTAAGAAATGGTCTATTGTACCGACCTGAATTTGCTAATTAACGTTAAAACAATTAATAGTCCCTTGGTTCCAGGTGACACCTGCCCAGTCCAAAAAAAAAGCTGAATTGAATAATCGGAAGCCTTGGGCGTGACAAACTTGCGAACGGGGGGTGGGGAGTTCTACATTGCGTTGTAAAGAATGAAATTTCAATGGGGAACTGGCCGGAGAAGTTGAACTTCGTCAAATTTAGTCCGGAGCAGAGAGCAGTGCTGAGTGTTTTACTTGATTTGTTTTTGCTTCAGTTTCCTAATCACACATTTATACCGGTGCAGCGCTCTAATCAATTGAGCTAGCAAGCCAGCTGAGAGCTGGTCACTAATTGTTGGTAATATACCTGGGGAAGATGAAGACGAAATAATGAATATATGAATTTCATATACTTGAACCGCGGAATTAAAAAAACAAATGAAGAGAACGTGATCATTGCAGTCAAAGACGCGACTTTGCGAAAAGAAAGCCTGAAAAATTTAGGCTTTGCCGGGATTTAACTGGAGCTTGTCATTTTTTGTGAAGTGAAATAGAGAAACAGTTTGCAGTCACATTAAGTGATCGTCTACATCCACCTTTAACAGATTTTTTTAATGTCATTAGCTCTTCTTAGATTAAAGATTGACTGTGAGGCCATTTCTGCACCTGGTCTGCAACAAGGAGCTACGGTGGTGATAGGGCAGCCACAGGAATCTCAAGGAGTGATCAAGGAAAGTGCAGTTGCATCGGTCACCTCAAGTCAGTCACAAGTGTCAAACACAACTGCTTCCCTGAGTGGGAATGTCGAAAACGGTGTCATTCCTTCCCCACAACAAATTCTGAGTTTAATTGCCTCAAAGTACTTGAACAACCTAAATCCATCAACACCGGAAGATTTCAATAGTTTTATACGATATATGAAAGAGGTACGCGAGGTGATTTTAGTTGATTGTAAGCCTGGAAGCTTGATAATTACTGTAGAGTGCGATTCTTTGAAGATTCTTGAAGAACTTTGGCAAGACTATTGTACAGGTAATCTTGGTCGAGTGGTGCAGGAATGCCTAGTAACGGAGGATATTCTTAAAGAACTTGGCCTTTCTGAGATAAAACTGATCACGACCATCGACGAAAAAGATTACAAAGATTGTCAAAAGTACTTAACAGGGTGTAGGTATGTACTATATGATACATCAATATAAGCCCTTTTGCCCTTGGGGGTACGCACCCCGGATTTCAAGTGGCAGGGAGGATGGTAGGTTTCTGTCGGGTTTGACAAAGGGCCATTGTTTTTTTGGGTTGCTTGTTTTATTTTTTGGATTCAATACAATCTGAATATTGTTGTTAGTTATTTTTTGAAAAATGGCAATTATTTTTTTGGGTAGCTTGATTTAAGTAGGGTATTCAAAACAATCTGAAGATTCGTGATAGTTTTTAAGTATCCCGGCCGCGTAGTTCCGCGAATATATTTTTATGGCTCGGAAATTGGAAATGGGATTATTTTTGGTTATGTTTGAAGCCTTAGGGATTTTTTTGGTTTTGAATTTCCCCATTCGATCATCCCTGTTACTTGAAAGCAACCCCTAAAGATAGGTGGTTACGCGGATACTCAGTCACTACGTATCCGTGTATCCACTTTGTCACTACGTATCCGGGTATTCACTTAGTAAATATCTTTTAAATAATAGTCACTGCGTATTTTCGTATCCACTTCGATATACACTTAAGACAGCATATAAAGCTTATAGTATGTCTATTTGCCGTTCTTAAAGCACTGAAGGTAAAAAAGTGTATAAAAGGAAAAACTGCGTATCCACGTATCCAGCTCTTTCAGGGATACAGCTTCGAAGTGGCAGGGTACTCTGCAGTTACTCCGCTGACAAGATATAAATCAGTCAAATCACACAGTCTGTAGTGAAATGGTCAAAATTCCTTGAGTCATGATAGATTTTTAGTACATAGAACGTGGTCTGTTAAAAGGCAACTTTGTTTTTTTGGGAGAGGGGCGGTGAGGGGATTAAGAAAAGAATCCCTCAAACAGACTTGGAAAAAACACAGAACTGAGATTCTTATATTGAAAAATAAAGAAAAATCAGCCACAGTATTAGGTTTGAAAAAATCCTGGCCTAAACCTAGCAACCGAGCCCTCCCCTCCCCTCATAAACAAATAAACCACTCAGTGCCCGCACCACGTGCGAAGGTCTCTGATAATGATTTGACACTCCAACGAGCTGAGTATAAAATAAAGATGTAGATGTACAGCTAGAGTTCATCATTGAAAACATGTTGTTTCCAATAATCTGTTAGGGTAGAAACTGCACATAAATTTTGGCTTTTTTTAAAACTAGCAAACTGTAACCGAAAAACAAAAAAATTGTCCTCCAAAACGCACATGAATGCAAATGGCGATGCTTTGTGGTTTGTCTGTTCTCTGTCTGAGGATACTAATACGTTTAGGTTGTTGAAAAAACATATATCTCTTTTACTCTAGTTCTGCAGAAGGCCCACATAGCCATTAACCTATTAGTACGTAGCTCCTTCTTCAGGGCGATAAGCCTAAACTTATATTGTCTGCGAGTGCTTACCTTGTAGTTTCGAAGAATCGTCAACACCAGTACTATCGACGAGCCATGTCTGTACGTCGTAAACACGAGACTCTACAGCCACGGCTAAAACTTTTACGATATCCAATTGAAGAAATAAATATCGAAGCAAGAAAAACTCGAGAAGGTATAAACGGCGTTTTACGTTTGTGCGCCCTCGTTTATCCAACGATAATTTGATCCAAGACCAATGATTGGTTCAAGTGTTCCACGTGATCAAGTTAATGATTTATTTGCGTGATCGAGACAAATGATTGGTTGAGTAACACAAATGATCAATGTTCGTATGAGAACAACAGCGTGACCGCGTCATGGTGCTGCATAACAGAGCCTTATTTTACAGTTACTGGTAATACACCTGAAAAGATCCAAACACAGTCTCAACAAGACGCTATGGAGCGTACACTTCGGCGTCGTGGTTGTGCAGCTGATTAATTGTCAAATGCGGAGGAATAGTAAGAAATGAAATATGATAAGAGTAAGGTGTTAATTTGTGAATTTATTGGATTTGTCAGGATATTCTGAAAAGGGCAACATCCAAGAGGCCTACTTGCCAAAAACTAGCATTTCGGGGCAAATTGTCTCTGAGATATTAGCCCAATTATACTCTGATGACTCCATACAAATCCTTCTAAGTTTGACTTGGGTCTAAACGTTTAGACCTAAGTCAAATATGAGGTTACTGGCAGTGAATAACAAGTCTAACAAAACAAACAGTGCAAAAAGAATTGTCTATTTTTGTTACATCAGGCTTCAAAAACAGCATAGCAGTCTTCGTGTGATTAAAGATATGTAAGGCATGGGTAAGGAGTCAATTACGTTGAGCATGGAATTGGCTAAAACCCAATGTTACGAGTTTGAAGGCTTTGAGGATAATTATTATTTGGGCGTGGCCCAAATAGAGTAATGGAAACGGCTTGTTTTGACGCAAAAGTGCAATAGGCACGCAATTGATGGTTTTCAGTGTCACGCCATTCAAAATAGATCAAAATAAAAATCAAAACCATTCGACAGATTAAGTCCAGAATCTGGAAAATGAAAGGAGGTAAATATACAAAGACCCTCGCCAAGATTTGGGTCGAAGGAATAATTCGTATACGAGATATCCGAGGAAATGGTTTACCCAAATTTATAGAGTTTTGTATGGAGACGCCATGCTGGAGCTCATCCTGATGAGCTCCAACATGGCGGACGGAAACCAACTGAAACATCTGTTACCGAGTTTTGCTACAAAAGCGTGAATTTACTCCTAGAGGAACTCATAAACATTAAAGTAATACTTTTTCTAATACTTGAACTGTTTAGATAGCAAAATTCCTCGAAAAAAGTAACTTTTTTAACCTAAATGACAGCTCTCTCGGCCGTCATGTAAATGCTGCGTCACGCAAAAGCTTAGAAATTCAAGCGTACTCTATTACAAAACCAAGGACTCTTTTGAGGCGAAAATTTGTTTGAAAATTAGTTTTTTTAAATCCTCAACACTCCAAGGCGGGTTCGTAAAAAAGCTCTTCTAGTATCTCCAATTTGATCACCATATTGACACAGGCAGACTTTAAAAATAGAATACGCTCCCACGAAAAACCTGAAAACTTAGACAGCACGTGATCAAAACATGATCAAATATTTTACAACTTTTTTTTTTTATTTTTTTTTTCAATTACTTTACTTTATCACTTTTTTTCTATACTTTTTTTTACCCACGACATTTACCCACACCCACACCCACGACCCACACCCACGACCCACGACCTCTACCCACGACCCACGACATTTAGCTACACTCTTCGCGATAGGCCACACTAAAATAGCACTGAGTGTTTTCATAATGGGCTGGTCCGCGAACTCAAAGAAAGACAAAGGAAATTGTCAAGACATTCAAATACCATGGACCTCATAGACGCTATGACAAATCGGAATGTCAGGAGTGTACGTGTAAAATCGATAAGAGTTTGAACAGACGAATGTGTATCAAGTTTGAGAGTCGCAAGATTTGTGTAGCTGGTCATCACTGTGACAATAGTGATTTTGATTTTCACAATGCGGAACACAAGGAGTTGCCTGTATCTCTTTAAGGAAGAGAAGATTGTCAACAATTGAAACCAAAAGGGACTCAGGCTTCTTTGGGACCTACTGTGACAGCGGTAACAATACTTCTTATTCTATCAATTTTGTTTAGCAGAGTGACTGTTACTGTACTTGTTTTTGTATTGCCCGTTGTTTGTGTATATTGTGACGCGGTACGTGTACGATGCTTGGCGTCGGGATTTTGCATTATCAGCAAGTTTTGTGTTAAGAGTGTTTTGATGTCAGTGAGGTGACGACAAGAAAAGGTAATGAGTCAATTGTACAGGAGGAAAATTGTTTTGTGGAGGAAATAAAAGAAGTTGAATTGAGATCTCGTCGTGGGAAATTTATCTACAACAGAACTTACAATCCAGTTGGTTTAAATAAGGTTAGTTCATTTCTCTTAAAGCCGGCCGCGTCGTGCACCTACATATTGTAGCAGACTACTGATGAAGAAATTAAAGTCTTTGTTAAAGAAAACAAGGAAAGTGAGACTTTTTGTTTGGAAGAGAATTCTGAAAAATGCACCATTGTCGTCTGAAATTCATTGTTACGTTAAAAATAGAAATGGTTTATACTTAAACCGGTACAGAAGTAACTGTAAGAGTGTGAGGTTTTTACTAAGGGCAAGTCCAAAACGAGTTCGAAAACAAGGGAAGTTTATCTGTCGTCTAAGCATCAAAGAAGAGGCTATATAGGCGGGGTGAGGTATCAAAATAGGGTTTAAAGTAAGTATTTGTCCCTCTGTACATGCAGCTATCCATTTTATAGTGCTTACAAGAGTTTGATTCACCGGGTTAATTTTGGCCAATTTAAGCTTTCTACTCAGGATATCGAGAAGAATCCAGGACCTTCAGTTTATGTAGATGCTACAAAAGCGATTCATGCTCCATACTATCAAGGAAACGTTGTAGTATTTGGGGAAAATGCGGGACAACAATGTGTTACAATGACTTTGTGCGCTTTAATTTACAGTAAGATAAGAAGGATTACTTCAGTCGATGATATAATTCAAACAATGACTGTTGGTAACCAGTTATAGTCTGTCATTGCTTGCAAGACAATCTATGTTAATGTTAACAGAACTGCCAGAAATGGTTACAGTGTTTGAGCGATTTTTCCAGCTTGAATACAGTGTAAGTTATAGCATGCATGGTGATGCCAGAATTGAGGGGTATCACTACTGTATGCCCCTTGAAACACTCTTGGCTCTGAACTACAACGCACTCATTTTAACCGTGGGAATTATTGGTGTTGATCGATGTTAGAGATATGTATGGTAACAGTCATAGTCAAGGTACATGTGTATTGTTGGAAATACCATCCATGCATAAATTAGTACAATATTTTCAGCGTCTACATACATGTAGGAATGAGGATATATATGAGCTTAAAGGTGTACATATTGCCAACTTTGAAGTTGATCTTTGTTCAAGCAGTGTTGAATACTGTAGTGTATCAAATGTTAATAGTTTATGCCAATGTTCTTGTAAACAGTGCTGTGCTATTTAAGCAATAGAAAACGTTTTCCGTGT